TTTATGGGCCACTTACATTATCGTTTTCATGCATTGTTGACAGCAAGATAACGCTTTTTTTTCTTTTTTTGGTACATATGAACAAATAGTAACACGATCTGCACTGAATCCGTGTAATGACGATTCAGATTCACGCTCTGGCGAAGGCAGCATTTCTTGTGGAATATATGGTTTGTTTCTTTTCAAAGTACCAACTAATGATAAATTCCAAGACAACAGGAGACGGGCTAGTGGAAGAGTTGTGAAAAAATTATCCATTGTTATGTTTCGTCCAGAATTTTTGTATCGGTAACACAAATCTTTTACTGCGCGTTCACCTTAATTAGTTTCACGTCCAGTCGAATTTTTTTCAGTATATATTTGTCCAGTAAGTGGATACGAATTATTGGCGTCACAAACCCACCAAACCTTGATGCCATACATGGCAGGTTTTGCTGGCATATATTGTGTGAAACGTGTCCTACCTCTAAAAGGAAATAACTGTTCATCCACAGCAAGAGAATCCGACGGTACATAGTTACGACGTAAATTATCATTGAGAAGATGAGAAATATCTGTAACAGCTGCAGTTTTATTATTTTGAAAACGTTCTGCACGTGTTTTGTCATTGTCAAACCGTAAGAATCTGCTGATGCTCCAAAAGTGATTTATGCCCATACTTGCTCGGTACAAATGATGAGAGTCTGTTTTCCATAAATCTTTCGAGTGCTCTGAATTTGAATGTCTTACTCCTGCTGTAATAAGAATACCTAAGTATGCATCAAATTCTTCTGTTGTAAGTGACGTCCAAACATTTCAAGGTTTGTCGGGATTTTCAACATTATACTTTTCACAAACGCTATTAGCTTTTCGATTGGTTTCGCGTATAATGATGTCACACATTACGTCACTGAAAACACATTTGAATGTATCTCTAATCGAAAGAGTTTTAGTAGAACTTACTGGGCTCCTTTTTTCACGCAAAAGGTTACGTTTCAGTGTTCGACTTGCAGTAAACGGTTTTCGTTACCAAATCGTTTTATCTTTTGCAACCAGAACATCACTTTGGGAAGAACTTTCTTGAAAATCGTCAAAATCTTCATCACTACTATCGTCACCGTCGGTATCGATTTCAATCTTATTATTGATATCAGTAAAAACGTCCTCTACGTCAGAAGCTTCATCTCCATCCGGTTTGCTTTGCGAAACATAGTCCTCATCTGATTCCTGGTTTTCGATATTTTTGTCTACTTCCTCATCTATATCGTCTATAAATTGTTGCAAGTACTTCTGTTGCTTTTCATACGTCATTCTAAAATTGAATCCTCTATGTATAAAACATTGTAAAAATAAACAGTAATACTTACCTTCTAAATTCGCTAGCACTCACTTCTCTTCTTGCCATTATTACAAGTAATTACAACATAAAACACGCATATAGTCACAAAAATATTAACAATTTGGAAACATAGTTAAATAAACACTGATAGCAAACAAAGAAAAATCCCAATTGTCTGTTATTTTCGGAATGTACACGCGAAGTTTACCGAAACAATGCCGGGTACCTGGGTAGCACGGGTAGACTCCCGTATCAGGTACTTGGGTATAGACATAACGGTTAAAACTGCATACAAAATTTTGTCCCCTGAAACGAACGACTGACATAGTATACTGATAATGTAATACGATCCTACCAAAGAGGCTTTTTAAAAAACAGATCTACCGTTGACTACATATTATCAATCAGACACATGTTATAAAAACGACAGAGTACGACATAAACAGTCATTACATCTTCGTTCATTTTAGGACGTCTTACGATTTTCTACTATGTTCGAATTTTGAGTACAAAAATAATTGGTAGAATTAACTTGACAATAAGGATAATATTACTGCCTGGGTTGATTGATGGCTGGATTTAATAGCTCTATGCTATTTAATATATATAGCATATTATAATATGCTCTGCGATTTAATAGCTCTTTACCACAGACAGTCCCAAGCCCATATAAAATTAGGGTGATTGGCAAGGTTAGCAACCTACCAATCGTAAAAACGAATACTGCTGAAATAAATAATGTACAGCTTCGGAACCGGATTAATACTATGAAGACGACCACGGCAAGAACTAAGAACAAGCGAAAAACAACTAAAACCCACATGGGAATTACTACTTGGAATATCAGATTCCTCAACTCAAAAGACCAAGAAATAACTTAAGTGCTAAAAGAGAAAGAAATGTACATTTTTGCTCTACAGGAAACAAAAAAGAAAGGAAATGGACAGTCAAACTTAGGTGAATACATACTAATCTACAGTGAAGTAGAAACAGAAAACACGGCTAAATAGGGTATAGCCTTATCTATACATCAAAACTACCAAATCAATGGTCACATCAAAGAGTGTCAATACCTATCAAAAAGGATTGTAAAAGCAAAGACAAGAATGGAGAAGGAAGACCTCAACATCATTGGAGTATACGGTCCAGAAAATAACAAGCCTAAAACAAGGGAAATGTTTTATGACCAATATTACATCAAAAGTGGATCAAGTTAAAGGAAAAATGATAATATTGGGGGATTTACACGCATTGACTGCATATGCCTTTAACCTTAAATCAGTAACAAGAAGCCCTTTTAGAGGAATGGGAACTTATTTCTCAACAGGACATTTCTCATTTGATTTAAGGCATGTCAAGGAGAATAATTCAGGCAATAACTCAAGCATGTGGAGAAAACATTCATTATTAAAATCAGTTTATTCGGACATTTGGGCAGATTCGGACAGATTTAGGTTTTCAGTATTTGAGCTTTATTTTGTTACATCATTTAATTACGTTTCTTTCCCTTAATTTTTAAACTGTTAACTACTGAAACAGTTCTTTGTTCAAAAGTTAAATTTTTATTAAAAATTACTTACAACAATTTTTTTCGTTTGTGTTTACGTTATTATAATATTAAAAGTTAAAAGACAATTAAAAGTTTAATTCTTTATTTTAAAAATGCAATTGTTCCGTTTTTCTGGTCGGTGAGACAATGATTTCAGCCTTAAAAAATGAAAGACAAAATCATCTCTAAAATACAAGCATTAATTAGATAGAGCATGCAATAAACAAAAATGATTAAAATATTTAAGACCAAGGTCTTTAGGTATAATAGTTCGAAAACAAATACTAACAATATATTAAAAATTTATAAGACAGTTATATGACAATTATTATTAGATCACTAAACTTGATTATGAAATACATTAACAAAATTAAAGTAGGAAGACTAACAAAGCTTGGCAGACATAAATCATCATCACGGGAACGTAAAAGGTTTCCTAAAGAGGTTAAATATAAGAAACCGTAAGAAAAAAAAACAGGAATTGGACTAGAATCATTAAGAAAAAACAGAAGAAGTTAAGAAAGGTTTGCATTACACCAAAAACAAGTTGACTAAGAACAAAGTAGTATGGCTGAAGCTAGAGATCCTAAGAACTAGAACAGAAGCAAACTAAGCTACTACCTTTGAGAGAAAAAAATAAATCAATATAGTCTCTAGCCAGAAACAAGTCACCTGGAGATAACAACTTCTCTAGCCAAAACTCACGTGAGAATTACTACTTGGAATATCAGATCGCTTAACTCAAAAGACCAAGAAATAACGTAAGTGCTAAAAGAGAAGGAAATATACATTTGTGCTTTACAGTAAACAAAAAAGAAAGGAAAAGGGCAGCCAAAATTAGGTGAATACATACTAATCTATAGTGAACAATCTAAAGAAAACAAGGCCAAATAGGGTGTAGCTTTTCTAATACATCAAAGGTACCAAATCAAAGGTTACATCAGATAGTGTCAATACATATCAAATAGAAAGGGTTGAACCAGCAAAGATAACAAAAATAGCAAAAAATAACAAGCTTCAAACAACAAAGGAAACGTTTTATGACCAATATTACAACCAGAAGTAAATCAAGTTAAAGGAAAAATGATAATATTGGGGGATTTTACCGCTCGAATAGGCAATCAAATAATGCCCGGAATTAAGAAAAAACATAAAGAGGATGTTAAAAACGAAAATTAAGAACTGATGATAAACACCTGCACAAATAACGAACTTGGAATAAACAACACACTTTTTGACCACAAATACTAACACAAATATACATTTAATAACAACCGTGGACAAAGATCTATGATAGATTATGTTATACCCAACAGACATTTACATCCATCGAAAATAATCGATGTAGGTAGCGACCATAGCCAAGTATTATGTTAAATCAGAATCATTCTGAAATACTTCACACCTTTTCATTTTTCATTTTTCTGTATAAGTATTCCACGGAATACTTATACAGAAAAAAAATGTCAGAGGAGATCGCTGGAAATGAAATATTGGAAAGGGATAACATTGAGGAGAGCAGAAAAGAACTTAAAAATAACATAATTACCGCAGCAACAGAATCGCTTGGAGAAAGGAAAGTAATAATAAACTTAACATACCAAAAAAGAAAACACCATGGTCTAGAGAGGAAGTGAAGAAAAACTGTGAAGAAAAAAAGAAAGCTTTTTCACAATACATGACACAACAAGCATATAACCACTATAAACGAATCAGAAATGAAACGAATACTTCAGTTAGACAAATAAAAAGGGAACACCGGCAGAGCTTTTCAAAACAGATGGATTACGACTTCTACGTAACGTAAAAAGAAATATGGATAGTGATCAGAGGATAAAGAAAAGAGGTGAACGAACTTATTAAAACGAAACGCATTCAGAAGGACACATAGGTAGACTACTTTAGATCCCTATTTGCTAAATTAGTTTGTTATTTTTAGTTTTTTTTTTAAATGAGGCTAATTAAAATGAAACGGCTTTCTAATAATATGAAACGTCTTCTGTAAAACTAAAACTTTTGGGACATGCTTAAAGCATAAGATTTTATTGTTAGTCTCTACCTTATAAAACTAAAACTAAGATTTTCAATTACAATAAAGTTACTTAGACATTTGTAATATATATTTGTAATTACTTGTATACTTCTGTAACGATTTCACCAGCTGATGATTTTCCAATAATATTTCTCCAAAAATTTCCAACTAATGGTACGGGACTTGGTCCAGGTATTCCTCTTTTAGACCAGTAAGAATAACGTTTATTTATCCAATATATAAAGAGAGAGCACAAAATTACAAACAATACCAACAACATGTTTATAGAACAACTATTTGGTAACTGAATATTATTGTAGTTTGGGGTTTTGATAAGTCACATATTTTACGACACCAATAAATTCTCCCTAGTAGTTAATAGGTAATAATACACAACTTGATTTACACTCATATCAAAATATATCTATGCATTTTAGGTTTAGAATAATGAATAGTAATATATAATTAGTTTTAAATGGTTTATGCAATTATAATAATCTTCATAATAATATGGTATTTGCGTCGCTGCTAGATTTTTTGTTTTTCATGTAACGTTTTTCAAATAAATCGCTCTCTTTATTTTAGTTATATGAGTCAAATATTTCTTAAATGCAGGGTGCTTCAAAAATGTATGTCATAAATTAATTCACGCATTCCGGGTACAACAATAAATTGATTGAATCCAACTTACCTTAGTACAAAAGTGTACACAAAAAAAGTTACAGCGCTTTGAAGTTACACAATAAAAATTGTTTTTTTGCATTATCTCCCAAACTACTTGATATTTTGTAATAAAAATGGACACGTTACTTTCTTGTTTTGAAAGCATTTTTTATAAAAAATAAACAACAAAATCTAAGCGCACAGAAAAAATTTTAAGGGGGGTAAGCAGCCCTAAATCCCCCCAAACTTTTGAGTACGTTCAAATCAAATTAATTTTGTGGCACCATTAGTTTAATACATTATTTTAAAAAACTGTTTGCCTCTTATTACTTATAAAAAACAGGTTTTATTGAGTTACGGCCCGTTGGATTAACCTTTAAAAATTACGTACAACTAAATAAATGTCTTAAATGAATTTTTCTTCTTCTTTTGGCATCATAACCCTGAATGGGTCTTTGCCTGTCTGGCTATGTCCTTCCATTCAGATCTCTCTTGTGCCCTTCTTCTCCATTGTCTTATGTTCATTGTTTTCAGCTCGTCTACCACGTTATCCAAACATCTCGTTCTGGGCCTTCCTTTTTTTCGCCTTCCTATGGGCTTTCATTATAACATTTTCTTTGTTGGTCTTAAATGAATTAACAAGTACAAAAAATGTCTATAACCTCTATAAATATGATATTACAATAAATGTTCAAAAAGACCCCCATTTTCTTCAATACACATTCGGTATCGTTTTAAAAAGGAAAACCGAATGCGCTAAAAAATTATATTTTTCTGACGAAATTTATTTGCAGCTTCAAATATTCTAACCCTCAATTGTTGTTCGTCCTCTATTGTTACAGAATACAATCTCTCGTTCCTAAATCTCCAAAAGCAAAAGTCCATAGGGTTAAGACCTGGGTGGAGAAAGAAGTAGATACGTCACGACCTCTTTCAATCCACCGACCAGGATACTGCCTACAAAGGTATTCCCGAACTTCATTACTGTAAGGCGGTGTAGCGCTATCTTGTAGAAACCACATATTTTGCCTTACTGCAAATACTCTTGTAAATCGTTTGCCACGAACTGCAAATAATTATCACGCTTTAAATTTGGGAAGAAATACTGGGCCTATTGGATTGTTATCCACAATTCCTGCCCAAACATTAACTTTGAAAGTCCTTTGATGATAGGTTGTTTTTTTCGCGTAAGAATTTTCGTCGGCCCAAATGTGCTCCTTATGATGGTTTGTTATTCCATTTCTACTGAACTTTTTTTCTACTTAACCAATAACTCTTGAACCGTTGTTAAGGGATAGAATTTAAGCAGCTGATCCAAACGCTTCCAAACACTTACGTAAGGAACATTTAGTTGAGCAGCTATTACCTTTGTACTTCTTCAATGTACCAAAGACTTCTTCAATGATTTCTAAAATGTCTTCATCAGCTGCATCCATTATTTGACGGCCACTATTGCTAGCAACTTGCGATTGGAATGTACCCGTTTCTCGTAAACGATGATCAATGGTCAGAAATATTCGTCTATGGGGTGTATTTCGATTGAAGTATTTTACTGCATAACGCCTTGCGGCTACTGCACTATTTCCTTGACATTCACCACCGATATTCCCAAAAGTTGATTGAAATCATAATTTAATCTGATACAACTTACCCAAAGTTAAATGCAAATTTGCCATTTCCTGAAATGTGTGTGTATTGTGTGAAACACAATAAATGATAGCTTTAAATTATTGACTATTATTGATGAAACTGTAATTATTGTATCCGTAGAAACTAATTGTAATTTTATGGCCAGATAGGAAAAACTATCTGGCCATAAAATATGGCCAGATAGTTTTTCCTATCTGGCCATATTCATCAACCATCAACCTTTTTGAAACAGTGATTTTTTGGAGGTTTGTGAAAGAGAAAGTCTATTCGATAAAAATAGAGGACGAACAACAATTGAGGGTTAGAATAATTGAAGCTGCAGATCAATTTCGTCAGAAAAATATGATTTTTTCAGTGCATTCGGTTTTTCTTATTAAAACCATATCAAATGTGTATTGAAGAAAACGAGGGTCATTTTGAACATTTATTGTAATATCATATTTATAGAGGTTATATAGGTTATTTTTTGTACTTGCTATTTTATTTCAGCCATGTATTTAGTTGCCCGTAATTTTTTAAAGGTTAATGAAAAGGGCCGTAACTTAATAAAAAGTGTTTTTTGAAAAAAAGTGATGGCAAAAAAAATTTAAAAATAATGTGTTAAACTAATGATGCTACAAAATTTATTTAATTTGAACGTACTTAAAAGTTTGGGGGATTTTTATTACAAAATGTCAAGTAGTTTAGGAGATACTGTCAAAAAACAATTTTTATTTTGTAACTTCAAAGGGCTGTAACTTTTTTTGTGTACACTTTTGTACTAAGTTAAGTTGAATTCAATCAATTTATTTTTGTCTCCAGAATGCGTGATTTTATTTATAATGCCATTTTGTCGAGGCATTAACCCAATAAAAAAAAATATGACATACGTTTTTGAAACACCCTGTATATTCCTTGTAATACCTTCTATACCCAAATTTACCATGTGTCAATTTTGATTAGACTTCTAAATTTATTTGAATTTATTTTTATTTTAATTTAATTAGCGTATTGAATTTCGACATATTTATCAGATTACAATGAACAACAAATAACTTAAATTTAAAATGACTTTGAATAAAAAAATATATCATATCTAATTTATAGACAAACAACGAGATTGTTTATGCACTCGGGTATCAGAAACGGTAAATCTTGGGGAATTTCCTCCTAGGCCCGTATATTGGCTATTTCTCCATCACGTGCTTGATGAATTGGACCTCGCCGTAGCTGCTTAGTCTACCCTACCTATGCAACATATAGGCCATCTTACTCCTACGGTACCTATATGTGCCGGATGTTGGCAATCAACATAGATTTCCTAACTTTACTTTCAGATATTCGAAATAGTGTGGTTGTAGACAATTAAACCACTTTCTTAAGTTTCAAAGCCAGGATATTCTTCTTCTCCATGGTCTTCTATTTTTAAATACCTTGTCCCAAAAAAACAAGTTGAAATAAGACATATATGTCGTCATTTCTCATAACATGGACAAGATATTCTAATTTGTGCTCTTTGATTGTATTAGTGATCTCGCATTCCTTACTCATTCTATGTAGGACCTCAATATTAGTCACACGATCCACCCATGAAATTCGTAAGATGCGCCTGTAACACCACATCTTGAAGGCCCGAGCTTCCCTAAAGAAGCTTCAGAGAGTGTCCATGCCTCTACTCCATATAATAATGTAGAAAATACATAGCATCTGATGATAGAGATTATGGTACTCAATAGTAAATCGTGACTTCTGAAAAGAGACTTTATCTTTACGAACGCTGATCTTTCTTTCCTATACATTGTTTTATTTCAGTAGAGGGGTCTCATTGACTGTTTATGTTAGTACCAAGATATGTATAGCTCTTTACCCTATCAATCGGCTGTTGTTTTATCAAAATATGTGTATTTATTATTTCGCGCTTACTAACTACTTTGTTTTGTACGTGTTGAGATCCAGCCCATATTGTTGTTTAGATGCACTTCGTAAGTGTGACGCAAGATGCCTTGCTGTCGTTGCCATAGTGCTTGCTCGAAGATTCTCACTTCTCTATATAGAGATATTGTCTCTGTTAACTGGTCATCCACTTTAGTGTTGGCAGTTTGGTTGTAATATAAATTATATATAATTCGCAAGTCTCTATGATCCAAGCTTCTTTCAAGATGGATATGAGATTGTCATGTTATTTTCTTTTAATTCATAGATGCTCTTCCTTAAAATAGAAATAATTTTATATACAGATAGCTCAAAAACTAAAACAGGCATTTGATGTGTTTATATTATACATAAAACAATAAAATTATTTTTATTATTAAATGTATGGAGCGTATGTACTGTAGAATAATATGTGAAACATTAAAAACTTTGTTTTCAAAACTTACACAAGATTTATTTTTATAATAAACACTACAGCTGTTTCGGCTAATTTCGGCTGTGACAGTTGCGTATACAAACTTAAATGTAGCGACTACCCAAAAACTTATATTGATCAAACTGGTAGAAATTTTAATAAACGAATAGCAGGACATAAAATGGCTTTCAATAATAGAAAAACAAGTTCTACATACGCACTTCACCTTCTAGATCATAATCATTCTTTTAACGACAAATTTCAAATTCTTCACATTCAAAATAAAGGCCATAAGCTATCTTTGTTAGAATCTATGGAAATTAACAAATTTAAAGGCACAGAGATAATTTTAAATGACTAACTTGAGACAAACAGCTCTCCCCTCCTTAACCTATTTCATTAAAGACTATAAAGTGTAAACCCATGCCAAAAATAGATCACTTGAGAAAGGCAATCGGCCGAAATAGCTGTAGTATTAAGATTTTATAATAAATGTTGTGTAATTTTTGGAAACAAAGTTTTCGGTGTTTTATTGTTACATAAAATAAATTTTCATCAAGTAACGGTCGAATTCATCAATAATATATGATAGTAAAGGCTTTTGGAGTAATAACAATCGCTAATAAGAACCTAGAAATATGCACAGACTCCC